TGAAAAATAGATAATTTAAAAAATAATATAAGATTAGAAATAAATTAATTGTAAATTAAATGTTTTAAAAAAAGGAAAAATTTTATAAATTAATAATAACAGTAATTCTATTTTTTTATATTTCATTTCTAATTTATATATAGTAACTAATGTTTAGATCTAAAGGATTGAGTCATTGTTAGCTATTGATTCCACAAGAATCATCTTATAATGTTATGAAAGAATTATATTAAATAGATAGCGTAATAATTATCCATAGATTTACTATTAAATTTCTTTTATCAATTAAGTACAAATATAGTATGACATACTTATGCTAAATTAGATGAAATATTTATTAAAGTACAAAATATCTACTCGAATATGTAAATTAAATAGGATTCATAATAGATTGTATGAAAATATTAGAAAAATAGAATGATCTTATCATTAAAGTAAATTCAAAAGTATACAGTCATAAATTAAATTGATGTACTTAACTGGAAAATATTAATTATAAATTGAAGATTTATCTAGATTGAAATCTAAATTATAAAATATTATTATTAAGGTTAAAATTGCAATATTAAATACAATTAGATTGTTGGTAATAGCTTATTTTGACAGCAAATATAGCATTAGACTTTAATAAATAAATTTTTAATAATATAATTAACATACATTTAAGATGCCTTTTTAAAAATTTACTCATTTTGTTGGGCTCAAAATATAATAAAATATTTCAGTAACAATAACTAAATGTAATTTAACTTTGTGGAAAACTAAACTTTATTATCTGTTTCAAGATGTTGCTTCTTATTAATATTTCCTACTTCTTCATTTTAATTAAAGACATTGAAAAACCTTAAAGATTTATGTTATGTTTTAATAGTAGAATAATATCTAAAGAAAAATAGGATAAAAGTTATTGTGATTAAGAAATAAATTCTTCTATAATTAGATATTGATCATGGAGCAGCCATTTTAATATTTGCAATATTTCTTTCTATGAATATAATCTTTTGCCCTAAGATCAGAATAAAATAAATTTAGGGAAAAAAAAAATTAATTCAGGTTACAAATTAAAAAATAAGTAAATTCTTAAGATTTTAATGATAGAGATCTAAATAATATTAAGTTAGCTTAAATAATTTTAGATTAATAATACATGTTGCTTTAATTAATTAATTATAGATAAAACAATTTTTTTTTATTTTTTTTACCTTTTTAAATTTTTACTAAAAAAAAAATTGTTTTTAAAATTATAGAAATTATTCTAAGTATTATCCATTATTTTTCTAATCAGGTTTATTATTATGAGAAGTACTTTCTCTTGATACATGATTCATATATAACTTTTTTAGGTATACATAAACATATTTAAATTATGCTTAATTTAAAAAGATTGTATGTGAACTTTTGTAATAGATCCATAATTTAAAGATTTTGGCTTTAGAAATTCTTACAAAACAAAATTAGCTATAATATTCGCTTTGGTTAGATGTTATAGGGAACGATTTGTTCTGGATTTAATTATTTTTATTTAAATAATATATAACTCTTTTTAAAATCTTCTCAGCCATATTTTATAATCTCATTAATTATTGGTTAAATTGTAATTTTAATAATAATTAAAGGGTTAATATTGTATTCAGATAAGTCCTTAGCTTCAAATATTATTACTAAATTAATTGATATGTATTAGTTGTTCTTCTTTCTTATAATATGAATTGATTACTTAGAATTTGATTAAAGATTCATCAAAAGATAGATTATTTCTGAAATAATCATAAAATTAATCTTATACAGATAGATATAATTGTCAAAAATTAATAGAAACCTTAAAATTTATATTGGAATGTAATACTGCTAGTTTATTTGAGATGATGCTTATTGTAAATTAGCTAAAATTCTTTTTGAATTAAAGTTTAAAGATCTACAAACAAATATTAATTATTTTTGGGTCATTTTTGAGAATGCCTTTTTTTTATTTGCTACTTTAGTATTTTAATATGCATGAATTCTATGGAATGTTTCTTACATGCTCAAAGGTTACATTGGATTGAATTTCAAAACAAATTTTCTATTGAAAATAAATATAATTTTGAAGTCTTATTCTATAAGGAAAAAAAATGTAAAATATTAAAATAAAATGAAAACGTGAAGAATATAACATATTTATGAATATCTTTTGCTATTATTATTTTTTTTCATCATTAAGTGTTAATATAAATTTCTAGCAAATAAATTTAATTTTAGAGGATTGAATATTAACAATATAAATTTATATTTACTTTTTAAGTCTTATATACAACCCAAACGCAATATATTTTAAAAAACAGATAATTAGACTTTTTAAAAGATTTTTATTTACGAATATCGATAATTTATAGAAATTATAAATCATAATATCTAAATAGAAAGGTTTAGATATTTCACTAATTGCATGTCATGGCAATTTTTCTTTTTAATTTTTCCTTCATTTATTTGACAGTTAGAGATAATTAATCCAATACAAATTAAATGGATTAGCATTATTCTATCCTCTGCAAAATGTTAATGAATTCATTTTTACTAAGAAGTCCTCTATTTTCTGATTTTCTTTTACGAATTTTTTTATTGGTTTTGCAAATACCAATTTAAGATTATTTAGTACCAGAATTATCGTAGTTTGAGAAGTTATAATCGAATAAACTTCCATTATTTGAAATATTTTCAATAATAGAAGGTTCAGGACTATGCAAACCAAATAATGATTGGTGCATATTTCTATCTGATTATAAAAGACTTAAATAATCTTCTTTAGGATCGATTTCTTATTCGTAAAAAGTGAATATCAAATCGTTGATGTCCATTAAGAATTATTATATATGTATCAATTATATTAGAAATATTATTTTAATCAATAAACGTTGGGAGCGTCCCCAAAAATTTAATAACTTTAATTATCTGATTCATCTTCATTCCATCCAGTTGTCGAAAGAATCTAAAATCTAAGTTTTTCATAATTATTTTGATTGTCAATATTTTTTAATAACATTTTCTTAAGACCATAGAATTCAAATAACTTAAAAATATCCTTATTCTTAAGTGTATTTAACAAAAACAATATCATTTTAAGATTAGCCTAGAAATTTGTAAATAATAATTTTTACATATGTGATTTTTTCACATAATAATTTTATTAAATTATAATCTTCTTTAATTTAACAAAATTCTTCTAATTATGTGATTAATATTGGATTATGAAAAATTAGTGATTCTATGAATTATAAAATACTATATTCTTAATGTTTAGTAAATGCTCTCAATAACACAATAAATGGCTAACCTTATTAATATTGATTACTTATGTCTCAAATTTAGTTGAATAATTTTATAATAAGAAAATTATCTCTGCAAGCAAAGGTATATATTCTATATTTTCTTATTAAGTATTTAAGAGTTGCTCTTCACAGAACATGAAAACTTTGAACATTTAAGATTAATAGGTGGTATTTTTCTAGAGATATTACTTCATTGATTTTAAAATTTTGTATGTTAATTTTTGTCTTTTGTGGGTTCTCCCAATTTAAAAGACTGCAAAATAATCACAGCTTTCTTCTGAGATCTGATTTTGATCTGAAGCTGAATCTGAATCTTAATTCTCCTCATCATTTTTAGCATCCTAAATTTTCATTATTTACTCAAACACAGCTTTTATTTTTATTGATCTTTTATTTTTAAACCTTTTTTCCAAAAATTCTTTTCTGAGCTTATTCCTAAAGATTTCTCTCTTCATTATTAGTAGAGAAGAATTAGTGATTTAAGTTTTATCCATATTATTTATTTATATTTATGATTATTCTCTAAAGTAATAAATTAAGGCAAGTACAGCTGTAGATTACACTTCGAAATGACTTAAATTATCAAATACTTAACAATAAGAATGATAATAACATAATATTAACTCTTTTATATATATATAATTTAGATATATAACTAAATAAGATCATTCTCGTGATCCTGTTTTTTAAACTTAGATTATAAGTTGTTATTTTACTTATTCTAAAATATCTTCTAAATTATCAATAAGTGATTTTATCTATTAGAATTATTAGATTTAATGAGTTGGATTTCTTTATTTGATTTAAGAAAAGAAATTTTTAGCAGCATTTAAGATTGGGTTGGTTGATTTAGATTGTTTTTTAGATTTTTTTGTTTTTTTATCTATTTTTTTAGTGATTTTGAGGATTTTGTCTACAGGATCATAAGAATTATTAAGATTTTATTACTCTTCTATTGTGTCAGATTAAAACGGTAGTGAAAGTATTGAAAAATCTTCTTAATTGTATTTAATTCGAGGAGAAGGACGTCCCAATAATATGGGAGATGGTAACATTATTTAATTGGAATACTCATCCCAAGTATTAAGATCTTAGACTTCATTGTCTGAGAATGTATTCTCCATTTATAATTTTTATTATTAAATATCTTATCATTCAATTAAATATTTATAAACTTCAGATTTCGAATTAAGTATCATCATAATTAATTTACAATTTTCAATAAGGAGTGTTTGATAATTTTTTCATATTTATGTATAATAATTAAATATTTATTTAATAAAAAAACTCGAAACCGGATGTTCATTTAAAATATTGTTGTTATAATTAAAAATTTAATTATTACTTTTGATTTAAAATAAAAAAGATCAAATTTATAAGGCCATGTGATATAAAATGTGTTTGGAGAGCGGGTTATTTTATTTAAAATTTATGACTTCTGGTTTTTAAGATAGTTCTATAAGAGTGATATTTTAAAAGTATTTATTAGACTCATTTGGTGCTTAGGGCAAAAAGTAAGAACATTTATGATTAAGTAATTGAAGAGAAAAAGAAGACGGAGATTTGTAAAAACTTCCTTTTCAAGGGATCATGCAAATATTAAGAGAATGTATAGAGTTAATAAAAATAAAGTGTTCATTTGCTCATGGAGATAATGAATTAAGAGATAGAGTGCCTGCAAATGAGAACTTTAAAACAAAACCATGCAAGAACTATCATAAGTTTGGAGTTTGTTCATATGGATTAAGATGTTAATACTTACATTCAGAAATAAAGGATAAGATTAAATGGTGGGGTTATATTTAGAAATAATTTAAAAAGAATATGGTTCCTTTCACTTTTCCATGGGATAAGCAAGAGAAGACATCCTCAATTTAGAGAATAGATATTTTAAGATTTTAAAGAGTATTTAAGGATTATTAAGAGGTAGAATAATAACTATCATATTTTAAAAACCTTTGTGTATGAGGTAATTATGTTTTTTTTAATGAATAAATTAATATATTAAAGAAACAATTTTATGATTCACTTGATTTTTTTAAATTCAGGATTATTTTTTAAGATTGCCTAATAGAAGGTATCTTATAATTTAAAAGCCTTATCTCTTAGTTCTTCCATACATTTTTTAAGACACATATTTTATTTATTATTATCTTGAGAATAAGATTCTTTGCATTTTTATTAACATCCTTAATCTTCGATTTCAATTTTATTGAATGATTATTATAATTAGACTGAATTAAATTACATTCTTTCATCAATAGCACTGAAACATTTATAATACAATTCAGGTTATTATGAATTTAATTTAAAACAATTGATTTTTTCATCTAAAGTTTATTTCTAATGATGAAAAAGAATAGTACTTAATAAAGATTGTAATGAGGAGTATATTTATTTCTTAAATCTGTAGTTAAATTTTTATACATCATTCTAATTTCTGTTTATTAATCGTCCATAATTAAATAAATTATTTTTATTAAAAACAATATATCATTTATTTTTAATAGATTCTGAATTGGATGTCTATGTAACAGCTTTCTCTGGATCTGCTTCATAAGTCCAAAATTGAAGAAGAGATTTATCAAGATAAGCTTTAATTAAGACACTTAATGTGCAACCAGGAACTAAAAATAACAATGCAGGTTAAGCATGACCTGATAAAATCATAACAGCTAAAGTAGTTACAATACCTATTGCATAACCTACAAAACACCATTAGAAATAAGTCACTTTAATTTCTGAAATCTTTTTTACTTTTTCAATTTGTCTATCAACATCATATTTAAGACACATTCCAACAAATATACCTGGAACAACAATATCCCCTAAACCTAATATACTATATTTTGTAAATGGATTTCCTTCATCATTTATCGCTGTAAATGGAAATTATAATTTTATTGGAGCATCTATAGATTTAGCAACTGTTACCATTACATCTGTTCCATATACCCAAAAAATATCATAAAAAAATAATCCCCATAACATCAGATAAGCAATCTTTAATTAAATTTATAAATCTACTTTGAAATTTGGTATTATTGTAAAATTTGCAACTCCTGATACTGTAAATGCAATCCCAAATAAATTGTTACATATCCAATTTTTAGATCCTAAATAAATACCTAATGGAAGCATAGAAATTAATAATGATATAAAATTCAACTTAGTTAATTTTATGTCTATATCTTTGCTTGTTAATATCAAATTTAATTTAATCTATTTATCTATCACTATTTTTGTAGAATATTCTATTGGAAATAATCTTTCAATTGCATCTTCTATAATTCCCATCAAACATAAGACCTTGATTTTTATATGATTTATATTACTCCTACTGCTGAAAAGAATAAAGTTATGGCTGTTTTGAGAATCGCTTCATCTAAATACTTTAATAAAAGATAGAGTCCAAACAAATAAGCAGATAAATATATTGGAAATTACAAAGCATCTTTTTATGTCATTTTTTCATCTGTTTATTTCTCTTCCTTTTCCAATTTATTATTTTCTTTCTTAACTAAATTTATATACATTTATTATATTTTATTTTAGATGTTGCCATAGCTCCAATATATAAACAAGCCAATGATTAAACAACTAATTAAACACCAGCAGGAACCTCTGTAATTAATGTTAATAAGTGAATTAACACTAAACTAACCAAGGACAAGTATACATATTATGGTCTTAAAAAATGGGTTATAGGTTTGAACTCTTAAGTAGGAACCATTTTTTTACACGTATTAAAAATAATTTTATTATATGTTTACAAAATAATTCCTATAATTGAGAAGTGTGGCATTCATTTCAAGAACTAGAGGAGGTTTAGCTAGTGAAATTTATGTTAGAAAATCCCATAAATTCTTACATTCTATCTACAAAAAAGAATCCCCTATTGAAAATGCATAATAAATTGTAAAAGATTTCAAATTGACCTTGGGATAGAGGTATGCTTTCATTATCTAAATCATTAAGATATTAACATGGATTTGAACTTGAAGAAATGAAAGAAGCATCTCCTCTAGTTCAAAAAGCATTTAGTCTTAATAATGCAACAGATAGCTAAATAGTTGCATATCGAATTTAATAAGCTATTAAAAAATATTAAAAATGGCCTTTAGATACTGCCAGCTCATTAGTCAAAGCAGCAGTTTTGAATGAAAGAGTCATCTCATTGATGAATCATATGGAAAAGAATAGATAAGATAAATATTGTGCACTCACACTCACAAAATTATTATCTGCTAGAAGAAAAGCCATGTATTACTTAAGAATTCACGACTATTAAGGATTTCTATGGTTAGTTGCTGATTATGGTTTGAAAGATCTCAAATATCATAATCATAATTACTTAAGACATAAACATATAGCTGCCACAAAGAAAAAAAGATATACAAGAAAAGACACAAATAAGACAAGATGGGCATTATGAGATAAATATTTATTAGTAAATTATACAATTAAATTAAAATAAAGGATTTTATTTTCTATTTCTTAAATTACATTTTAATTCAATATTCTTAAACTTATACGAATCATCAAGGTATTTGAATTAACAAAAAATCTTTATTTAATTAATTTATTTCTGTCTTATTCAATTTCTCTTTTTTAACTATATATGAATTTTCTAATTATTATTAAATTCCATTATATCTCAATAGAATCTATTAGTTTATTTTTTTAGCTATAATTCATTTTTGTACCATTTCAAATCTTCCAATTATAATATATTTCTTTAAATAGATTTAGCACTAATTTGGGACTGTTATCCACATCTGAATTATCATAGATGATATATAACTATTATCACTAAAATTTAAATCTATCTATTTCATTTGTCTTTAAATTAATTATATATAAAATGATTTATTTCTGTTGATAACATAAATAATTCAGAACCCTTCTTCTTAATTTATTTCTTTATTTTTAGTTTATAAATCAACTTAAATTATTTCAATAAAATCTTTTGAATTATCTTTTTATTGAAAGAATTCTTATCATATATTTAGCTACAAGTTTATGTATTCTCTTTTTTATAAATCGTTCAGTTTATTCTAAATTTTTAGTTGATATTTTCAAATATATCTTTTGATGTAAATATATAAAATGGAATCCTAAATATTTTTTAACAAACTGAGTAAAAAGTAATCATTATTTTTGTTTGATTAGATAGTAATTGTGTTATTATTAGAAAATTATGATATTTATAGTAATTCGCTTTAAAAATTAACTAGTTATCCTTTAATATCATATGAAATATTGAAATAATGTAAGAATGTAAAATTAATTTTGAATTAAAAATAAACTGATTGAGGAAAGGAAAATACTAAAAGTTTGATGATTGAAGTTCGGGAGATTGAATAAAAATTAAATGAACTGTGAACTAATTAATATTAAAATTTTGATAGATCATAATTTTTTTTAACTTATTTATTATTATCAAATGAGAGAGGGTGGAAATCCAGAGAAGATGTAAAATTAGAGAACTCGAATGATTGGTAATTATGTGATAGGTGATGATTTATTGATTGAGCAGAATAGGGAAAACACTTGGGTTTGGGACGTTTGGGAAAGTGAAGATGGTTACACATGAATAATCAGGTGAGAAAGTGGCAATAAAAATATTGGAGAAAGATAGAATAGTAGAGACGGCAGATGTAGAGAGAGTTTAGAGAGAGATTCACATATTGAAATTAGTTAGACATCCTCACATAATATAGTTATATGAAGTATAGAAATAGATAAATGATAAAATAGATAATAGAGACACCAAAACATATTTTTTTAGTGATGGAAATGGTAAGTGGAGGGGAACTATTTGATTACATAGTAAAGAATACAAAGTAAAGAAATAAATAAAATTAGATTGGAAGAGGTGGAAGCTTGTAAGTTATTTTAAGAACTGATATCAGGGATAGAATATTTACATAAGATTAGAGTAGTACATAGAGATTTGAAACCAGAAAACTTATTACTTGATAAAAGTAAGAATCTGAAAATAGTTGATTTTGGTTTATCAAATACATATAAGAATGAAGAATTATTAAAGACTGCATGTGGAAGTCCTTGTTATGCTGCTCCTGAAGTATTCAAATATGATATAAGAATAGATGATAGCTGGATAGAAGTATTAAGGTTTAAGAGTGGATTTATGGAGTTCAGGAGTTATTTTATTTGCATGTTTATGTGGTTATTTACCTTTTGAAGATTAAAATACATCTGCTTTATATAAGAAAATATTGAGTGGTACATATTAATTGCCATCTCATTTATCATAAGATGCATAGTCAATGATTGCTGGAATTTTGACTGTTGATCCTGAAAAGAGATTTACTATTGAAAATATACACAATCATCCATGGTTTTAGATATATAGAAGATCTTATGAAATTCCACCAGGAATAGTCGTAGGATATAATAGAATACCTATTGATTAAGACATCCTTAATTTATTGAAATCTTTTGGAATTGATATTGATTATGCTTTAAAATGTTTAGATGCAAATAAACATAATGAGGTTACAACATTTTATCATTTATTATTAAAGAGACATCTAGTAAATGGAGGTAGATCTACTGCAGATCTAAACTCTGAATCTTTTGATATTAAATTACTTGAACCTAAATAAAGACCAAATAAAGGTATATCTTTATATTTATACAGTTCCTATCACTTCATTAGTCAATAATGAAATTATCAAATAATAGATGAAAGAAGAAATCATCAAATAAAGATCTTATTCTACTGATAAAGATAGAGGCAGGATAATTAAAACTACTGATCATAATAAATAAATTTTAGCTGATAATGATTAAAGTGTTAATCGTATTGCACATAATGGATAAGCATCAAGTGTTTAAGTTAAATTAAAAGAAGAAAATTATTTTGATCAATCTCCTTAACTTAAAAAGAATAATAAATTACCACATTCTACTCTCATCCATAATATTTATGGTGCAAATAAAAATAAAACTACTAATATTGCTTCTACTGAACATAGATATAGAGAAGAAACTAAGAAATCTTCCTCAAGGAATAAAAAAGACTTAGATATTACTAATCTACATCGAAATACTAATCGTGAATTTTAATAAATTAATAGAAACCTCTAAAATGGAGGTAGATCTCAGAATCATAAGAAGGACAGAATATATGTTATTAATTAAAACAATCATTCTTTTGATCTTCCTCCAAATTCCAATCCATCTGTTAAATAAAAAGTTTATCATTATTAAAAGTTTGGATATCATTAATGATAATACATAATATATTATTTTATTTTATCTTATCTTATTTTTTAATCAATCCTAATAACAAAATTCTTTTAAATATCTATATTACTATTATTCAAAGACATTCAAACTTTTCTTCAAAAAATTAATTTTTAACCATTTTTATTATATTTTTATTAATAAATCTTCATAAATCACATTTCCTCTGTTCATTTTAAAAAATAATTTTTAATTTATAGATTTCAAGAAATTTAATTTAACACTTTTTTAAAGATCCTTTCATTTATAACTAAATTAATTGAAATATGATAAAGAAAAATAATGAAATAAAGAATTTAAAATTAATTGAAAAAAATAACCAATAAATACAATAAAAATATCTTTTATGAAATCAATTTTTAATAATTTATAAAATAATACTCATGTGTAATAAGGATCTTATGAAGATTTTTTACGAAGAAAGAAATCATGTCCATATTCTTTAGGATTCTTTATTTTACTCTACATAAATTAGTGATCTTCAGAATTCTGAAATATAAAAATATAATAGATACTTTCGATAGAGATTTTCTTCTTTTAAAGAAATCATATTGAAATTCTTCTTCCTCAGTATTATTACTTAGTTCTGAAGAAGAATGTGTTACTTGTAAATCAAATTGAGGTCTGATTTGTGATTTGACTTCTTTATAAACTTTGTCAATCATTCCTTTTTAACATTTGCATTTTCTTTATATCATTTCTAAAGATTTCTTTAAAGCTAAAAAAGAATTCTCATAATCAATCTTCTATTTTATTAAGAGTTCCTCTAACCAATCATTTTTTTAACCTTATTAAGAAATCTCACTTTAGAATTCTTTTTACATTAATTTAACTTTATTCTTCATATCATGTTCTCTTTACTTATAACGATTTAATTCATTTGCTAATAATCTATTTGAGATTGTAAGTTCTTTAATCCTTTGTTCCATTTAGGGATTCTTCTTTATTATAGGTCTAAAATGAAGTTCTGATTATTTATGATATTCTATTGCATTTTCCACAAATTTTAAAAAATCAGATTCAGTTGATTTAGTTTCTCTTTATACAGATTCTCTCATAAAATCACTATCACTTTTAGAATTGTTTAACTTAAAAAATTGATCAAACAATTTTTCTCCCTCTAATTCTTCCAAATCAGTAATTGGAGTACCTTATCTATAGTTATTTTGTAAAGATGATTTAGCTCTTTTATGCTTTTATGTTTCTAAAGGATGATGTTAGAAAATCATTTAATCAAGATTATCTTAACGGAATCCAAATGACGATTAATCATTTGGAGTTCTCATTTATCTGAGTTCTCTAGAATTGATTAATTGTTATATTTACTTGCATAATTAATTGTTTGCTTTCCTGACAGTTAACTAAGTGACATTTAATTAAAATAATGAATAAATCTCAGGTACAATATTGTACTCGCTAACATAAAGCAGGGCAAGAGAGAATAATCTCAATTTGCATGAATAAACATTGCCAAATAAGATTAGCTTGTAGCTATTGTTATTAAGATTATCATTTAAATCATGTTTAAGATTTGATAACTATAAAAGAATTCGAATCTTTAGCATTAAATACTTATAATGAATAAAAGCATTTCGAATTTATTAGTTTGATAGATGAAAAAGCAAAAATCTTGTAAAATTTGAAAAACAAATTACATGAATATGTTTCTCATTTGGAAGCAGAATTTAATTAGGATTGTGATAATTTAATATAGAGCTTTGTTTATATTTAAAATACTTTGCTTAAATTATGTCATTGTCATGAACATTCAATAAAAGAAGAAGAATTGTTGACAGTGATTAATAGATTTAGTAATGTGGAATATAATTAGATTAAACAATCAATTATGGTATAATTGAATAGACCTATTGAATGCATAATGAAATTACATGATATTATTAGTAATGAATGTAAAATGATTTAAAGGAAGAAATTTATAAATACTTACATTTAAGACAAAGAATTAAAGAATTTTTATTTAGAAAATGTATTAGATTATAAATTGGCACCTAAAAAACATTCTTTGATTAGAGGATCTATGTTTACAAAAGAATTTATGGAATTTGAAGAAAAGAATAAATATTATTATGGTGAAATTCATAAAGGAATACCTAATGGATAAGGTTTACTTATTGAAATAAAGGATTAAAAGATGGAGGAAGGAATTTGGATAGAGGGTCATTTATCATGGGGATAAAGATCAATATAATTGAAAGGAGTTGCTTCACTTGTGTGTGGAGAAATGATTGATGGAGTAATTAATGGTTTAGGAAAATTAATTTGTAAAGATGGCGATTCGTAATTTAAATTAAGTTATATCTAATAGTTATACAGGAGAATGGATCAATGGATAGAAACATGGAATTGGAATATATAAATATGCAAATGGTGACATGTACAAAGGAGAATTTAAATTTGATTTAAAGGATGGATAAGGTACATATAAAGCTCATAATGGTGATATTTATATTGGTTAATTTGAAAAAGGGATAAAAAATGGAGATGGAAAATATATATCTAAAAATTAAGATGTATATCTTGGAAAATTTAAAGAAGACAAAATAGATGGAGATGGAACATATAAATATCATGATGGCAAAATGTATATTAAAATATAATTTAGAGTAGCCAAAAAGGAATGCATAAAAATGGTCATCCTATTGGTGTACATATGATTTATAAAAATGATTAACATCATCCAATTCAATAAATTACATATGATGATAAAGGAAATGTAATTGAAACAATAAATTTATAAAAATAATGAAATTACTAACATTATCAATCTTATTAAATCCTTATGCCCTTATTACTTTATGTTTATGAGAGAATTCTCTCTATACATGATTTGCAACTCTCCTAATATTGAAAGAATAGTTCACATTTGATTTATTCTTTATGAAAATACAAAAGAAAAAAATAATATATGGAAAAAGTGTATCCCATTGTGAAGTTTAGTGTTAGGGAGATTTAATTGAATTATGGACACAGTCTGATAGAATATGAAAAGCATTAAGAACTATAGCAGCAGAAATTCTTAAAGCAGGAGTTTTTCTGAAGATTTTATTTAGAAACCTTATATAAATAATTATTTATTTGTTTAAGCTTCATATTATTACTCTAATCCCTAAGCATATGGTGTTTCTTAGGTGATGAAATTATTAATTTGGGGATGTAAAAATTTATAATTGTTATTCTTAACAAAAATGATCAAATTTACATATTTACAAATATATAAATTAAATATTCTCTACTTAATTATCTCTTATGTCAAACTTTAAACTATTATTACAATTTCTAATCAATATGTAAATTATCAGTCTACATTATCTGCATTACAAAATTTATTATTTTATAAAACTATTATAATTTTGTTTTATGTAAGAGTTAAATCCAACTATGATAATTCTATAATATTAATTGATTATATTATTATAAAAATATCAAGAATTCTGTATTATATTCAGTTCAGCCTTAAGGGACAAAGATAATAATTGTGAAATGGTGGCATCTAAGACAATTTCTAAATAAAAACACTCCATTACCTCCTTCTGAATCAGCAAGAGTTGATGATTAATGTAATCCATATAAATTATTTAATCTCAAGGCAGTTAATGTTGAACACAATCTAAATTAGCTATTTACTGATTGATTAACTCTAAAAAATATGCTCATGCTTTTTACAATCTAATTGATATCTTTATTTTTTGAGTTTTAACTGTTGAAAAGCTAACAAATTATTTTGCAAAAGCAAAGAATCCCCGCATGTTAAATTTAATTATTTAAATAAATTTAATGTTAAACACTAAACAAATAAATTATTATTTGCTTTTAACATAATTTCATATTCAAAATCAATTATCGTTTGCTCAAATATAAAAAGGATAAAGTAGGTACTGAAAATTTTCTATTTCTTATTATTCAAAAAGATTATCAAAACATTCTTCATTTTATTGTAATATTTATTGAATTAATTATAATAATACTTAATTATATTGTATTAATACAAATCTTAAAATTATTATATCAATAAATGGAGTATTTTATTCAAATTGAAAACTATTTTTTTAAATTTTAATAGAAACCCTTTATTTAATAGTAATTAGATTGTTTTGAACAGAATTCTACTTCTTAATTATTTACAATAAGATAAATATATTTTATTAACAAAAAATATGCTACATTTACCAATGATCGATTTGAATTAAATTCCAAAATTGAAAGACAACGATAAAAATGAAGCTACTTTTGATTTTAGAAAATTTAAGGTTAATAAAATTACAAATATGAGTCGTTCCCTTTAAATTAAGTTAAATGTAGTTAATAAAGATTCTAATACCAAAAATTAAGTAGCTTTTGGATCTTCATAAGAAAGAAGTAAGGCTTCAGGAAAAATATTCCCACCACTATAATATGATTTAAATTTTAAATCTGTTGATAGACATTAGGCTTCTCCAAAGCTAAGAACAATCAGAAGCACTAGAATAAAATCTGAAATCTCTTAGTAATATTGTGAACGATTTCCTTATCCTTATCCTTGTACTAAAACTGAAACTATTGAATAAAAAAATTAACCATCAAAAATAAATTGTCTGTAGAAATTGATGAAAAAAGTTAAAACTCCTAAAATTGAAATCCAATTAAACTCAATGAAATAAGAGGAATTCATGCCAATGAGTTCGAAAGAACTTAAAGAAAGCTTAATACTTTTAATGTAAAGCATTTATATATTAAAGGAATAAGTATGGTATTAGACAAACTGAAATAAGCAAGTGAATAATAGTTTTAAATTGTATATATTAAATCATTTTATTATTCCAATAATCTACTTGTTTATTAATCAGCGTACTTATAAGAGATATCAATATGATTTGCAATTATGAGAAAATTATTGTACAATACATCATAATTTTCTAAATTTATACTTAATAAAATAAAATACCTATAATGACTTGTAGATTATAAATCAAGTTTTAAAAGTTACAAAATTAAACTTTAATTACTGGATTATATATTCTTTAAGTAGAATAGTGCTTAAATATAAATTATATTATTAAAAAGAGATTAATTTTATCATTTATGTAATTTCAATATTATTATTATTTGAAAGTTGAAAAATGATTCATTCTGATTAATATGAATTTAATTTAGAGAACTTTTTAACTTGACTATTTTTAAGTTTTAGAATTTTAATATCTTTCTTCCCTTTCATTTCAGTTAGTTATTTTGATCTTTTTCCATAATATTTCATTTAATTGAATTAAAGTTTTATACTTAATTAATAAATTCAAAGATTTAGGTTTCAAAATGAATCTCTAAGAAAATGATGTAAAAATTTCATTCATATCAATTTAAAAAAATCTTTTCAAAAAAGATTACTTACAGAAAACAGAAAATTATAAAGCAGAAAATTATAACATAGCAAATAGCTTTGGAAGCAGCTTAAAATTTTCAGAAAAAGATACGATTGAAAATCACACTTTTTTTTTTTCAATCAAAAAACTTGATTATTAAGAGGAGCATTTTAATTCAAAAAGTTAATCTATATCCCTCCATCAAACTCTTATAAATTATTCGTTTATTTTTATAGACATCTAACTGAATTTTAAAAATTTAATTTAGGAATTTAATATATCTGATTGATTGGTTGATTAGAATTTTAGTAATTACAGTTCAATGTATTATAAATTTCAAATCATTTTTTGTTTTATAATTTCTTAAAGTCTCCTATTTTCTTAGGTTAGAAGTTCCACTTTTTCCTCTAGATTTTTCATTTTAATTTAATCTAAATCAGTCATTTGAGTCATATATTTGATCTATGATTCTAATTCAATTTATAGTTTGTGATCCTTTTAACTCATAATTATATTTTATACTTAAGTCTTGAATTTTCTGGATTATTTGTTTGTAATTATTATTGTAAAGTTAAATTTTCACTTTATAAATGTTCAATTGTACTTTTTAATATTTAATTTTCTTGATATAACTTTTTACCTTTCTTTTGTAAATCATTAATTCTTTTTTCTTCTCTAGTTATAATAATAATAATTACTAAAATTGTTTAACTTTATTTGATAATAAATAACATTTCGTTTTGTATTTATCAAGTTCAATTTAATCATATTATTCTTTATTTTATTATAAGACTTTATTTTCATTTTATAAAAAAACAATTTTATTTTCAAGCTCTTAGATTTGTAATTTATATTGTTTTTCTGATAATTAAGATATCTAGAAATAGAACTTCAATAATTTACATTAGATAATTTTTCATTTTCCATATATCTTTAAATAGTTTCACTCAATTTATTGTTTTCAATGATTTAATGAGAATTTATCTTCTCTAATTATGCAATTCTTTATTTTAAGAATGTGATTTCATCCTTTTTTATATTAGATGTAGTTTCTAAAGTATTTTCTTTTTATCTTGTTGTTTGATGTTATTATGTTATATTTTTCTTAGTTTGCATAAAATAATTAGGAATTTCACATGAAGTATTGAATTATTTTGAACAATTAGTTCCTAACATTGTTTATGAAGTTGATCTCTATTGAGTATTTGGTTATAATTAAAATACAACAGGTCTTAATTTCTCATAAATAGATGCCATATAACTTTTAACGTATTTATTTATAATAATTAATTAAAATATTTCAATCTACTTTGATATATTTTGCATTCATAACAGCAGGCAATATTTCTTTATTAACTATAAAATCAGGATCTCTATGGAGATATAAAAGTTAACTCTCCATTATAACAGGAAAAACATGTTCCATTTTCTAAATGCTTTTTTAATAAGCATCTTTTGGTCTTGAAATAGTTGAAATATCAATTTCTTTAGTTGTACAAAATCCATAAATACTTGGATGTTAAATTAATACTTTTCTACCACAAGGTAATAAATCAATTGATCTAAATATTAATCATTAAGATTTACATTAAAAGTCTTTAATATTAACTTGAAACAGATTTCATTGAACGAATAGTTATGCCTAACAATCCAACATAGAAAAGAATTCCAATAAATCTTCTATCTTAATAATTATATAATTTCTTTGCACTAAAATAAGTGAGATAACCACCAATAGCAGAAATTAAAATATAATAATTTCTGAATCTGTTAAAAATTTCACTTTAATAAAGAGAGCATCTACCCTAAAGATATTATGATAAATTTATTTACATTTTAGAAATTTAATGGATTTTTTGGATGATATAATAATTCTGCATCAGACCAAATATCTTTGGATTGTTATGAACATCTATATATGATTTTAGAGAAGTTTCTTAATGTTTTTGATAACATAAATAATGATTATTTCTTCCTTAAATTAAAATTTATATTTTTAAATTTTCATGAAACAAAAAGTATTTATATAATACATTTTATTTGAAAAGATTAATTAAATTAATAATTATATATATAAATCATGTCAAGTCTTAAGTCTTCAATTACAGTAGGAATATTTTAGTCTTTAAGTTTTTGTGGTCTGAGATAAAAAATTTTAAAAAATATCGCCTTTTAACCACCTAAAGTTAGTTATTCTTTGAAACCGAGATTAGATGATTAAATGACAAATAGTACATAAACTAATCCTTCTTCATTATAAATTATTGAGTCAGAACATGAAAAACGATAGAAATCTAAGTCATATGATGATGAAAACATACATTAATTAGGTTTATTAGATTTGGCAGAGGAAATAATGCAATTTACAAGTGAAACTTTAAGTCCAATGAAAGAAAAGTAAAGATAGTTATTAAAATAGAATATCGGAACCTGCTTATGACTTTTATTTGATAGATGAATAAGGTTAAGAAATTCCAATTCCAAAATAAGTTAATTTAGAATTGACTGGATATTTCTTAAAGGGAAGAAAAGGGCATCGAATAGCATCCTTATATATATAATATTTATTTCCAATAAGTGAATATGTAATGTTGTTCAGTCATGGGAATGCGAGTGATTTAGGCTATATGATTGATACATTAATTGGTAATTATTATAATTAAGTTTTTAAGATCTTTGTAACAATTTAAGAATAAATATATTTGCTTATGAATATTCAGGCTATGGACTTTCATAAGGAAAGTGTACAGATCTCAATATCATTAACAATATTTAAGTAGCTTATTAATTCTTAGTCTAATAAATGAATTTTGATCCTACTAAAATTATTGTTTATGGTTATAGCATAGGATCAGGGCCTAGTGTTATGTTAGTATCTGATATAGTATTTCCAGTAGGAGGATTAGTTGTTCATTCAGGAATGAGTTCAGGTTTAAGAGTTGTTAATAATAAATTAAAATCTACTCCTTTTTATGATATTTTCCCTAATATTGATAGGATAAAGGATGTAACATGTCCAGTATTCATATTACATGGGAAAGAAGATGAAATTATTGATTTAAAACATGCAAAATTATTGTCCAGTAATTGTTAAAGATTATATGAATATTGGGAAGTTGAAAATATTGGACATTAAGGAATCGACACAAATGATGAACATCGCAAAAACTATTTCTATAAATTAAGAGATTTCATTAAATGTATATTTTTAAATTTATATTATTAGTAATACAAAAAGAAAATTAAACAATCAAAGAACTAAAACAAAGAAATACTGCTAGTCCTAAATTAAATGGTTCGTATAATCATTATTATGATAATAAAATAAGAGAATTTCATTTAAGTTGTAAAAAGGTGGAAGATTCAGATTCTCCTCCTAAAAAACTTCGTTGAATTTTTTATTATCACAAATTTTGATATTATTTCATTTTGTTTATGAAAAAATCTAATAATAGTTTGAAAAATTTAATTAATTAATATATATATATTATTTATTCAATATCGATGATGACTTGAATCTCTGGTTTTATTTGGTACTTTTGTAAAAGTTATTGGTTTAGTATGTTGGTTGAAATAATTTTATTATTTAAATCTATTTTAATTCATTAATTTGATTTAATTAGTATCATAAGTATCAACAGAAATATTCATTTTATTTGTTGAAATTGATCTTTCAATGAAAACAGATCTTTATGTTTAAAGAACTTATTAAAATCTCTATTATTGATTTGTAATCTTTTATTTTGGGGAAATTGACATAATCCTATTATCTAAAATATTATCATTTTTACCATCAAAAGTGGAGGATCTTTCTTTATTATTGAAACTATTGAGATCAATCAATTTGATTGGAATAGGTTGATCTTTGAAAGTTATTTTCTATTTTATTCTTTAACAAACACTTTATAATTATATATTTAACCAACATAAAATATTATCAACTAAAGTAAAATCTCTTGTTTCATTATGATCCTAATTAGTGTAATAAATAGTTTTTATTCCTTAATAATTATTAAATAGTTTTTCAGTTTATTCATGTGAAACTACTGAATCAATATTTGAAGTAATAAAAAAGGCAGGTATTTTTATAAGTTTTAAATTATTTAGACTAAAAATATAATAAAATAGAATTACCAGTTAATTTCATTTAGGGTGAAACCACATTGATTTTTGATTTCATCTGACACATAGGATGATAGAGAGTTAAGAATGAAATTTGGAATTTTGGTTTTTTTGGAAGCCATTTGTACTACAATCTCAAATATGAAATTTTGAATACATCTTACAAAGATATGAAGGGACTATCAAGAACTAAGCACTTAACAAAAAGATTTTGAAATTATTGCATGTAAAGCAAAGCAACTACAGAACCCATAGATCTTCCCCATAAGACAATAGTTTTTGCATATTGAGTAATATGTGTGATGACAGTTTGTAAATCATAAATTTCTCTAAAACCATATGTAACTTGATTTCCATCTGATAGACCACTTCCAGTGAAATCAAAAGTAAGAAACATATAATTTTAATTAAGAACTTCATTCATATATCTTAAGGCTTCTAATCTACAACCATTAGCTGAATGCAAATAAATGATGCAAACATCACTTTAAACATTGCCTTAAAATAGTGATACTTTTATCCTTTGTTGGCAATGATTCACTAAATCAAAATCATTTCTGGAGTATGTTTAGTCTTAAATCGGTCCTAAGTGATCCATTGAAAGTAACAAATACCCAAATCATATTATTGGTATTCTGCTCTTAGAGGCCTTATGATTTATGCACAAATTTAGTTTATTCCATTTTCAAAATATTTCATTAATATAATTAAACTGTTAGATAAGGATATCACAACAATTGTATTAATAGTAATTCTCATATCAATAACAATTTATAACATCACATCAACCTTAGATATTTGAAGGAAGGAATCAATTATAAATTGTTAATCAAAGTCCTTTTCAAAAAATATATGAAAATTAGACTTAATAAGAAATAGAATCTCAATTTGAATAAATCATCTGATTTATTATTATTGTTAACTTAAAAATATTAGAAACAAAAACTACTTATGTAATAAGTAATGCTGCCTTAAAAATAAAAATTAAGAAATATGTATTTAAGATAATCAATCTAAGTAAAGTTGTTAAGATTATTTGATTCTATAAAATTAGTTGAGTGAAGAAATTCCATTCATCAAGAAGTTAAATATAAGAATTGAAATAATCTAAAAGAATGGAAGATCTTGATTTTGAATCTTATACATTATTTTTTACAATTTCAGATAAAATGATACTCAATGCTCTTTATAGATATATTTTGGTGTTTCTGAATTAATTTATTGAGTAATAGTTTAAATGATGATTATATTATAGTTATATACATTTTTTTTGAAAAAATAAATATAGACATCAATGGGTAATATATGTCGATAAAATCCTATAATTGATAAAGAAAACAATGAGGTTAATACCTCATAACCTGCTACTGTTCATTAGGTTGTAGTCCAAAAAGCAGAGGAAGTAAAGGGTGAAATACCTCAGTAGTAGGTTGGATAAGACAAATAAGCAGAATAAAATATAGAAGATGATTAACCAAAATAAGAAAATGAAGTATACATTCTTAATAAATATATGTTAGCCTAAAAGAAAAGAATAAAAGAAGATGGCTAAAATAGCTGCTGTTATAGATTAAGAAGTGATTTATGAAAACGTTTAAAAATAAGAAAAAATAAAAAGTCCTTTTGATTATCAACTATTGTTAAATGCTTTTGGCAATAGTTTTATTTTTGGTTAATTGCAAAATGAAGACAAGTAAGAACAATTTTATGTTAAGAGTTAAAGTTATTGATACAATGTTTTATTGCACAGTTCATGACGGATAAATGGTTTTTAAGTAAGGAGACAAAGCGAGTTCTTATTTTTTAATAGAGAGAGGATAGTGTTAAATAATTATAAATAATGAAGTTAAGAAAACACTCAAATAAGGGGAAGCTTTTGGTGAATTAGCTTTACTTTATAATGCTCCTAGATCTGCATCAGTTAAAGCTGTTGGAGGTAGAATATTTATAAAATTATTAATATAGATTGTGCATTTTGGGCTATTGATAGAAATACTGTCAGAAAAGCTATTGAATCAATTTCGTAACGAGATTATGAACAAAATAAAGAATTTATTAATAAAGTATAATTTTTTGGTAAAAATTTATTATTTGATCCATAGAATCTTTAACTGATGATTAAAAAGCTGCTATTCCTGCTGCTTTAATAACTCTTAATTTTAAAGCAGGTGAAATTATAGTTAATGAAGGAGATTAAGCTGATTCATTCTTTATTATTAAAAAAGGAGAAATTTAAATATCTAGAGGAGGAAAAGAATTAAGAATTATGAAAGCAGGAGATTCTTTAGGAGAATAAGCACTTTAAACTAATTCTGTAAGAGGAGCTACTGTTAAAGCAATTAAAGAAGATGCTATTATATTAGCTTTAGCAAGAGACGATTTAACTAGAATTTTAGGAGATAAAATCTAATTTATTATGTACAGTAATTTATAAAGATGGGCATTTGAAAGACATTCTATTCTTAATAAATTAACTAAATTATAAGTTGAAAGAATTGTTAGCAATATGTAGTAAATATAAAAAAAGACAGATGAATGTATCATTTAAAAAGGTTAACCTTGTAGAGAAATAATAATTGTTTTATAAGGTTCTATTAAGTATGGAAAAGAGATATTGGAAAAAGGATAAATGTTTGGTGATAAATTTTTAGATTAAGGAGAAAATGCAATATTAGGAGAACCACTAATTATGAAAGATGAAGGAATGATTGCTGTAATTACATTTAAACAATTTTTTGAAATAATTGGAGGTTCTTTAGAGTAAATCTTTGTTAAAAATGAAAAAGCTCATGATAGATTTATTAAAAAAGAAGATGGACAAAAATAAGAGATGTATAAACATTTTGAATTAGATTAATTAATTTCAGTTAAGAAATTAGGTTAAGGTTAATTTGGTAATGTTTATTTGGTTTATAATAAATTGGATAAAAAGACTTATGCTTTGAAATGCATATCTAAAGCTTAAATAATAGAATAAAATCTTGAAAAACATTTAGCATAAGAGAAGATTGCTTTAGAGACGGTTAATTTCCCTTTGATAATGTATTTTACAAGAAGTTTTAAAGACCATACATATATTTATTTTTTAGAAGAATATATTAGAGGAATGGAACTTTTTGATGTTATTAGAGATATTGGATTGTTAAATACTTATGATTCTTAATTCTATATTGGATCATTGATATTATGTATGGAATATTTACATCTTAATAATATAATTTATAGAGACATAAAACCTGAGAATATAATGATTGATGAAAAAGTATATAATATTATAATTAATAGGGATTTATGAAATTAATAGATTTAGGAACTGCAAAGAATCTTAAAAGTAAAAATGGTAGAACATATACTATAATTGGTACTCCTCATTATATGGCTCCGGAGATTTTAACAGGAAAAGGATACACTTATTCAGTAGATTTAAATTGTTTAGTTATGAAATTTATGAAGAGATTTAAAAGAAATAATTAGCTTTTCCATCAGTTTTAAAAGATAGAAAAGCTAAAAAATTAATAGAATAATTATTAAGTAA